AAGTATGAAGAAAATAAGTAAGTGAATGACCTGTCTCTCAGAAGGAAATGATATTTTATGAAACCAAGGACTTAGGGGCACCTGGGTGGCTCAGGCGGTTAAGCATCTGCCTTCGTCTCAGGTCATGATCCCAGGATCCTGGGATCGAGCCCTGCATCGGGCTCCCTGCTCAGCTGGGAGTCTGCTTCTCCCTCTCCCAATCCCCCTGCTTGTGTTCCCTCTCTCGCTGTGTCTCTCTCTCTCTCTGTCAAATAAATAAATAAAATCCTTAAGGAAAAAAAAAAAAAACCAAGGGCTTAGATAAACAGGCAAAGGCACAGGTCTCCTCAGATAGCTCCCCCACTGGTAAGCTACAGGCCAGGGCCCTGACCGTGAAAACTGGGGTGGGAGACAATCACATAATAATTACTTGACCTCGTCCCAGAGGAGTGTCTGCCCTGGGAAAATACAGTCTGCGGACAACCGTACTGCTCCGTGCTGCGTAACAAGGCAGTTCCATGCTCCGGTCAGGGTATGGGATCCCGTACTTTGACTATTCATTCAATAAGGACTTAGTGACATCTGTCCCTGTGCCAAGCAGTGTACAAAGTTCTGGGTATTTTAAAACACTGGGGGTAAGAGATGGTTTCTCTTGTCACCCGGCAGTTGGAGCAGTTAGGTCAGGAATCCATTTCATTGCTGCATAATGAGTGCAGTAGAGCATTTGCATCCTATAAATCCAGCCAAAAAAAGAGAGAAAATACAGTGTGAGCCGTTCTACCCACTTTCCTATTCCATGAACCAGAGAAACAGTGAGATGGGGCACATGAATCTGCTTTTCCACAGCTGACCTCTGTTCTCGTATGAGCATCCAATTATGTGAAGTGGGGTTCTGGCATCCAAAGATAGGTTTTCATGAAGCATGGTCCCTAAAAACCAACCAAGTACTTCGTCTGCTGTTGAGCTGAAGAAGTGGTCATTGTTGCCACGGCTGGGGAGACAGGCTCTGTTGGGTTTAATGAGGGCTGACATGTTGGTCTCCGGTAGGGCATCTTCATAAGGGATATTGTAGGGTAATTTTGGCCACATGCAGTTTTCACTCTATGTGCTGACTTTTACAAGCATCCAGCCTGAGACTGCTCCACTGCATATGAATTTAAAGAGGCCCCTTGCCCCTTTCTGGGAAAAAATAAGTTCAGTGAGGCTGTGCATGAGGTATGTGGAAAGAAATGACATGTAATCAGGTAGGAAAGTTGATGAGAGCTAAATTCTCTTGTTAAGCTTTTTCTTTTGAGGCAATTTTAGACTCTCACTCAGTTGGAAAAAAAACACATGTACTTTTTACCCTGTTTTCCCAATGGTAACATCCTACCTCAGACTCTAGAAGGATAGCACAACCAGGAGATTGACATTGATACAGTAAAGCTACAGAACATTTCCATCACCCCAAGGATCCCTGTGGTGGCCCTTTTATAGCCATGCCCACGTCCCTCCCCTATGTTCCCCCCATCCTTAACCCCTGGCAGCAACTAAACTGTTCTCCATTTCTGTAATTTTATGATTTCAAGAATGTTACATGAACGGAATGATGCAATATGCAACCTTCTGGCTTTTTCTACTGTCAGCATAATTTTCTGGAGATCTCATTCAAGTTGTTTCATGTACCAGTAGTGTGTTCCTTTATATGGCTGAGTAGTGTGCCATGGAATGGATGTGCCATATAATGTTTAACTGTTCACCTGCCAGAGGACATCTGGATCGTTCCCAGTGTTTGTAAAGGTCCCAGCAGGGAGGGGACCCTGGAACCCTCTGGCCTTTCAGGGCCTATGCTCCTCCCACACCCTGCCCTTCTGCTTTCAACCCCACTCCTGAGCCCACACCCTGCCCTGTGTCTCTAGAGCTGTCCAGATTCTGAAATCCACCTGCCGACCGTAGCTTCCCTCCTTCCCCTTCATTTCCCGCCTCCCCCGATCTTGTTCTGTTCTTCTCTGCATGCAGACCTCAAGCCCTCGAGCCCACCTGTTCTCCCCACCTTCTCCCAGGCTGTGTGTCTGTTGTCCAAGCCCCGTGTGTCCTGTAAGCTGGAAATTAGATCAGAGAGCTTGACCATTGCATCTGGGAGCCCCACCTCTTTTTCCTTTTGGTCATCTGCTGCATCCACCTGCTAAACTACAACTTGGGATCAGTCCAGTGGTCTGCTTCCTTTACGTTTAAACCCAGAGATGCTGGGCCCTGAACGGAGAGTCACACGGCCTCGGGAATTGGGACCACTAATTCGTGGTCTCTAACCTTAGCTAGGCCCTCAGCACTGTGCTGCAGTCCTCTGCCACTCACCTGCCTCCACCCACCACCCTGCTCTAGTCAGTCAGCAGATAACTTCATCCAGTGGTTCTCAACCCTGGTGTACGTCGGATTCCTGTAGACACCTTCTAAAACTACCAATGCCCAGGGTCCCACCCCGGACCAAGTGCCTCAGCATCTCCAGGTGGTGGGGCCTGGACCTTGATGGATTTTTTTAGCAGCACTGAGGGATGGTTCCGATGTGCTGCCGGGGTTGAGAAACACTGATCCAGTCTCACAGGTTTGGTGTGAGGATTTCCCTCGAGAACGCATGGAAAGTGCTTTGCACAGTACCTAGCAAATACTAGCTTTTAAATATTGCTAAATTTTCACACGGAAATGGAAACCAGACCTATCGTCAGGAGCTCACTGGCTTTCCAGCCCCCTGCCAACAAAGTTCTCTTCACCCACACCTCCCTCCTCTGTCTTCTAAGGCCAACGAATTTTTCAAGCAGCGCTCTCGGTGCCACGCCTGGCCCCTTCATTAGCTCCACGCTCTTTCGTTGCTCTGTCTTCAGCCTCTCCAAACTCTTTACTGCGTCTTTCCCTTCGTTCTGAGGTTATGCCCAGGGACCTTTAAAATAGATACGTGTCTGGGGCCTTTTTCTTCTAAGAGCTCTTTCTCCTTTTCTGACTCAGCTGGGGGGAGTACCCCCCCTCCCCCACTTCCCATTACTTCCTTCGTCTGCCCACCACAGTCTGGCTTCTGCACTTTCTGCTCTTCTGAAACTGCTTTTGCTAAGGTCATTGATCACCCAGTGCTAAATTGATGTATTTCTTCCCTGATCACTCTGCAGCATTTAAGCCTGTTGACCATTTCCTTCTTGAAACTCTTTTACAGGGCGCCTGGGTGGCTCAGTCAGGGAAGTGTCTGCCTTCGGCTCAGGTCAGGATCCCGGGGTCCTGGGATCGAGCCCCACATCGGGCTCCTTGTTCAGCAGGGAACCTGCTTCTCCCTCCCCCTCTGCCTGCCACTGCCCCCTGCTTGTGCTCTCTCATGCTCTCTTTCTCTCTCTCTCTTTCAGATAAATAAATAAAATCTTAAAAAGAGAGAAAGAAAGAAAGGGAAGGAAGAAAGAGGGAAAGAAAGAAGGAAGGAAAGAGAAAGGAAGGAAGGAAAGAAAGAGACAGAAAGAAAAGAAAGAAAGAAACTGTCTTTTGTCTTGGTTTTTGTTAACACGCCTTTCTCTCCTACCCATCTGGCCTTTCCTTTGTGCTCTGCTTATTGAGCGTCTCTCTTTGCTTATGGCTTAAATGTCCATATTCTCCAAGGATGTCTTTAGCCTGCGTTTCTCCTCATTCTATGTAGCCTCCCTGAGTCATCTCCTCACCTCCCGTGGTGTCAGCTTACTACCTCCACACTGAGCACTCCCAAATCCTCTCGAAGATGCCGTCCTCCCCAGTTGCCAGTCAGTCAGTCACATTGCAGATCCTGCAGGTACTACAGACTCATGTCTAACCTGTCAGGCTGTCCGGACCAGAATACTTGTTTATTCATTTGTAAAGTGTTCGGTGGGATCCCCTTTCTGTGATCACAAATGCTGTAATTCATTTCACAGCAATTGAACCAACCAGAAGGTTGCTTTGCGAGTGTGGAATCCTAAAGAGGGAGGCATTCTTGAAGCAGTTGTAGCTAAGCCAAGCTGAGGGCTGATGAACCATCCTTGTTTCCCAACATGTATCTCGCTAGTGTCCGGACTGTTTGTCCCTGTCTTCCCTGGACAGCGCTGGACACATTCTATAAAAGTCTGCCTCTCTGAGCCCTGCCTTTTGACAGATTCTTTCCTTTGCTGTGTTCCTATCTCCTGTGTAGTTCCTCTGGTCAGGAAGTTATTCCTGTGGGCCTAGAATCCCCTTGCCCCTAATTTTAGGAGTCAAACCCTGAGGCCAACCTTGATTTGCTTGTCTTTGCATTTATAAAGGAGACACCTTTGGCCCCCATCCCAGTGTGTCATTTACAATAGGAAACCATGGATTGTTGAATGAGAAATTGGGAATCCTGCAGAACAGCTCCCTTGACAAAATCATTTTTAAAGATAGAGTGATTTGTTTTTTAAAAAAAGCAACATGGCTTTATGTAAACATAGGTCAAATTTGAGTACTTCTGTAGGGTTGAGTATTCTTAATCAACATACGATACTTTTTCAAAGTGCCGAATTGTGAGGAGGCCTCTTGCGGTAGAAAAGGATTTCCTAGTGGGTTTTTTAGTATCTTCCCCACTCTGATAAAGTAACGGCTAACCTTTATTGAGTACTAACTGCGTTATCTTAGTCTTCACAACCCTATGAGAACACGTAGGTACTATTATTATCTCAGGGCACAGATGGGAAAACACTTGGAGGTTTAAGAAGATGCATACAGCAGAGCTGGGATTTGACTCGAGGGCCCAAGCTTTTCAACCATTATGTCTCCTCTTCCTGTTAACCAGTGAAGTATATGGTAAAGATGGGAGCTTCCCCCAGCCCGATTCCCATTTGCCATCTCAATCAGCGTTCCGAGATAGTGTCTTGACAAGGGAAATGGGTTTGTGGCCATTGCCCAACTGAGCAGACTTCCAGGATTTTCTGCTGCCATGAACCTAATGTGTGTTTTCACTAAGGGGTAATCCAGACATGAGTGCTGTGAAAAAGGGGATCATTTGGCTCTCCCAGATACTATGTGACCATACTTTTTCCTTGCAGGTCAGACACATTCTGTGTGAAAAACATGGGAAAATCATGGAAGCCATGGAAAAGTTGAAGTCTGGAATGAGATTCAATGAAGTGGCCACACAGTATAGTGAAGATAAAGCCAGGCAAGGGGTATGGTGCTGTTGTCATTTGAAACGATCTCTCCCCGGGCTCCTGGGTGGTACAATCGGTGAAGTGTCTGACTCTTGGTTTCGGCTCAGGTCATGATCTCGGGGTCCTGGGATCGAGTCCCGTGTTGGGCTCCATGCTCAGTGCAAAGTCTGCTTGAGATTCTCC